TCCCCCCCCCCCCTTTTTTTTCGGGAGTAGAGCTATTGTACCGCCTCCATCTTCTCCCCTCATGGCGGAGGCGGTGGCGGCAAGCCATCACCTTCTCTCTGCTGATTGGCCACAACCTCATCCAATACAATGGCGGCCCAGTGGGCCGTCTTTCCCAATCCTCGGAGACTCATCATGTCTAGCAGCTCAGGAAAGTTCTGCCAGGCCCCTTCCCACTCGTCCTCCGAGATGCAGCCGGCCTCTATGACCCCCAGCTCTTCGAATATCTGCTCCACGGCTCGCGGGATTTCGGCGGTGACCTCGTGCATCAACTGTGAAGGGGAAAAAAAAAACAATAAAAAAAAAAATGCATACAGATTACGACCTCTAGGAGAGGCGCACCCGCTGCCGCACGGAGAGTGACGTCTTTTCATTGGTCAGTCGAATAGCGCGGTCGGTGCTAGTAACAAACACATACACATAAACCGTGCACGAGATGAAGAACAATAAAACCGCACTGAGGTCTACGTCTTTTGTCATTGATCAGCAGCGTAGCGTGGTCGATGCTAATTGTACCTTCAAAGTCACGAGGTGCTACAATGGAGAGGAACAACAAAGCAAGCAGATGGGAAAACTCGAGAGGAAGATAAATACCCATAGTCTAGAACGTTGACACATAACATTACACAAGAAGAACAACGGCCCCAAGCGTTACCTGTCCTCAAGAAAGACGAACTTAGGCGTTACCGATACACACAAGAAACGCGGGCTTACTTCGTCCACGACGGACACGATCTCCTCCTGGACCTGTTCGCTGTCGATGTCGATCAGCCTGCCCATGTCCTCGAGCTCGTGGGCCACCACGGTCGGGATGACTCTGGCTAGACTCTTCATGTACAAGAGAAGCGCCGCCTGCAGCTCTTGGCGGTCCAGCTGAAACATACAAGAGGGGAAAAAAAAAAACGACCACAGTAGCTTTGTGGGAAAAGAGAGCAATGCAAAACCCGAGAATACAACAACAGGATGGCGCAGCGGCCTACGGTATAAGAGAAAAAAAACAAGATAGCAAAGTACGGCAGGTTCACACAGCGCCATAGAAGCGAACAATCCACGACTGGAGAATAAAAAGCAACAGGATGGTAAAGCAGCATATACTCATGCAAGAGAAAAAACAAAAAATCGATAGTAAGAACAACAGGGTGGCACAGCAGCGATTAAGAGAACAAAAAAACATAGACACAAAAAACCTGCACGTATGTGTATCGTCGGAGGCATGAGCTGGAAGAGTTGTAATTGGCTACATGACACAAAATCGAAGCACTCCATACCCTCAACGCAGGGAAACTGCAAAATTCCGGGTTAGGCTCTTCGCCTAAATCATGTCCTTCGCGACCTCATGTCGGGGGACCGGCCCCGCAGACTGCAAAACGTCCCGCACGCGGGGGGGTGGGTGGGAGGGGGCCCTCCCAAGCCCGGAGCTTTTTCATTGGTACATTTGACACCGTCATGAGGATGCGATGAGTTCTAACCGAATATACACCAGCATGAGGATGCGATGATGTCTCACCGAACATACACCAGAGTACTGTCCGATGTACCGCTAAAAGAAAAGAGATGAATCACAACATCATGAACCCTGTATTCTACCCACCTATTTGTTGCCGGAAAAAGGGTACGAAGTAAGCTGCGCATTGACACCGCCATACCTACAAAACCGACCTGCTTGTTGCCGTTGGTGTCGAGGATGGAAAATATGTACAAGGCCCGGTCTTCCGCAGAGGCTTGCACCATCATATACAC